TTCCATGTGCACTCGAGAAGAAAGTATATTCTGTTGCTTTGGGATGCAGAGTTCTAAATATATCTGTCAAGTCCATCTGATCCAATGTCTCGTTCAGGGCCCTTGTTTCTTTATTGACCGTGTGTCTAGATGATCTATCCATTTCTGTAAGTGGGGTGTTAAAGTCCCCTGTAATTACCACATTCTTATCAATAAGGTTGCTTATGTTTATGAGTAATTGTTTTATATATTTGGGCGCTCCGGTATTCGGCGCATAGACATTTATAATTGTTAGCTCTTCCTGATGGATAGACCCTGTCACTATTATATAATGTCCTTCTTCATCTCTTGTTACAGCCTTTAATTTAAAGTCTAGTTTGTCTGATAGAAGTATGGCTACTCCAGCTTTCTTTTGGCTTCCAGTAGCATGATAAATAGTTCTCCATCCCCTCACTCTCAATCTAAAGGTGTCCTGAGGTCTAAAATGAGTCTCTTGTAGACAGCAAATAGATGGGTCTTGTTTTTTTATCCATTCTGATACCCTATGTCTTTTGGTTGGCGCATTTAATCCATTTACATTCAGTGTTATTATAGAAAGATATGGGTTTAGAGTCATTGTGATGTCTGTATGTTTTATGCTTGTAGTGATGTCTCTGGTACTTTGTCTCACAGGGTCCCCCTTAGGATCTCTTGTAGGGCTGGTTTAGTGGTGACAAATTCCTTCAGTTTTTGTTTGTTTGGGAAGACCTTTATCTCTCCTTCTATTCTAAATGACAGACTTGCTGGATAAAGGATTCTCGGCTGCATATTTTTTCTGTCTAGCACACTGAAAATCTCGTGCCAACTCTTTCTGGCCTGCCAAGTTTCAAAAGAGAGATCAGTCACGAGTCTTATAGGTCTCCCTTTATATGTGAGGGCACGTTTACCCCTTGCTGCTTTCAGAATTTTCTCTTTATCCTTGTATTTTGCCAGTTTCACTATGATATGTCGTGCAGAAGATCGATTCAAGTTACGTCTGAAGGGAGTTCTCTGTGCCTCTTGCATTTCAATGCCTTTTTCCTTCCCCACTTCAGGGAAGTTCTCAGCTATTATTTCTTCAAGTACCCCTTCAGCACCTTTCCCTCTCTCTTCCTCCTCTGGGATACCAATTATGCGTAGATTATTTCTTTTTAGTGTATCACTTAGTTCTCTAATTTTCCCCTCATACTCCTGGATTTTTTTATCTCTCTTTTTCTCAGCTTCCTCTTTTTCCATAACTTTATCTTCTAGTTCACCTATTCTCTCCTCTGCCTCTTCAATCCGAGCCGTGGTGGTTTCCATTTTGTTATGCATTTCGTTTAAAGCGTTTTTCAGCTCCTCGTGACTGTTCCTTAGTCCCTTGATCTCTGTAGCAAGAGATTCTCTGCTGTCAGCTATACTGTTTTCAAGCCCAGCGATTAATTTTATGACTATTATTCTAAATTCACTTTCTGTTATATTATTTAAATCCTTTTTGATCAGCTCATTAGCTGTTGTTATTTCCTGGAGATTCTTCTGAGGGAAATTCTTCCGCTTGGTCATTTTGGATAGTCCCTGGCGTGGTGAGGACCTGCAGGGCACTTCCCCTGTGCTGTGGTGTATAACTGGAGATGGTGGGCGGAGCCGCAGTCAGACCTGATGTCTGCCCCCAGCCCACCGCTGGGGCCACAGTCAGACTGGTGCGTGCCTTCTCTTCCCCTCTCCTAGGGGCGGGATTCACTGTGGGGTGGGGTGGCCTGTCTGGGCTACTTGCACACTGCCAGGCTTGTGATGCTGGGGATCTGGCGTCTTAGCTGGGGTGGGTAGGCAAGGTGCACAGGGGCAGGAGGGGCAGGCTTAGCTTGCTTCTCCTTAGGTGATCCACTTCAGGAGGGGCCCTGTGGCAGCAGCAGGGAGTCAGATCCACTGCCGGAGGTTTGGCTCCGCAGAAGCGCAGAGTTGGGTGTTTGCGTGGAGCGAGCAAGTTCCCTGGCAGGAACTGGTTCTCTTTGGGATTTTGGCTGGGGGATGGGCGGGGGAGATGGCGCTGGCGAGCGCCTTTGTTCCCCACCAAACTGAGCTCTGTCGTCCGGGGGCTCAGCAGCTTTCCTTCCCTTTGTCCTCCAGCCTTCCCGCTTTCTGAGCAGAGCTGTTAACTTATGACCTCCCAGCCGCTAAGTCGCGCTTGCTGTCGGAACACAGTCCGTCAGGCCCCTCCGCTTTTTGCAAGCCAGACTTGGGGGCTCTGCTTTGCCGGCGAGCCGCCCCTCCGCCCCGGCTCCCTCCCGCCAGTCCGTGGAGCGCGCACCGCCTCGCCGCCCTTCCTACCCTCTTCCGTGGGCCTCTCGTCTGTGCTTGGCTCCGGCGACTCCGTTCTGCTAATCCTCTGGTGGTTTTCTGGGTTATTTAGGCAGGTGTAGGTGGAATCTAAGTGATCAGCAGGACGCGCGGTGAGCCCAGCGTCCTCCTACGCCGCCATCTTCCAGTTTACAACCACTTCTAACTTATGTTTTTATTTTAGAGATAGAGTGTGAGTGGGGAGTGAGGCAGAGGAAGAGAGAGAGAGAGAGAGAGAGAGAGAGAGAGAGAGAATCCTAAGCGGGCTCCACACAGTACAGAGCCCGACACAGAGCTCAATCCCATGGCCCTGGGATGATGACCTGAGTCATGATCAAGAACAGGATGCTCAACTGACTGAGCCACGCAGATGCCCCAGTTTTATAAACTTTTAAAATGAATAAACATATAATCAAACTAAGTTTTGGACATGCAAAGTATAGTGTCTTCCTTTACTAGATCATTTTCACGGTATAAACAAAACTATTGTCTTTTTTACTTTACAGAAAAAAACTTGAAAATCAGACGTATTATTAGTTCATAACAGTTTATAAATAAAAGTTTTATTTGAAAATATAATCCTTTATTTTACCTATGAGAAGGCAAAATATAAATGTTTTAATTTTTTTAAATTTTTATTTATTTTTGAGAGAGAGAAAGCGAGAGAGAGAGGCAGACACAGAATCAAAGCAGGCTCTAGGCTCCGAGCTGTCAGCAGAGAGCCTGACATGGGGCTCAAAGTCATGAACCGTGAGATCATGACCTAAGATGAGGTCGGACGCTTAACGGACTGAGCCACACAGGCGCACCTGCATTAAACAGAATTTAAATAAAAGCTTGAAATAAAAAATAATACCATTTATATTAGTCCTAGCGAACGCAGTTTAAGTAAAGGCTCAGGTCATGATCTCACGGTTCAAGGTTTGAGGTCTGCATCGGGCTCTGTGCTAACAGCTCAAAGCCTGGAGCCTGCTACAGATTCTGTGTCTCCCTCGCTCTCTGCCCCTCCCCAGCTCGCGCTCTGTCTCAATCTCTCTCTCAAAAATAAAGAAAAATGTTTTAAAAAATTAAAACATTTATATTTTGCCTCCTCATAGGTAAAATAAGAGATTATATTTTCAAATAAAACTGTTAATATGAACTGCTAATACGTCTGATTTTCAAGTTTTTTTTCTATAAGGTAAAAAAGACAATAGGTTTGTTTATACTGTGAAAATGATGTAGTAAAGGAAGACACTATACAGAGACAGGGGAGCAGGAGATCCGAAGCAGGCTCTTCACTGACAGGCTGACAGCAGACAGCCCAATGCGGGGCTCCAACTCACAGACTGTAAGATCATGACCTGAGCACAGACGTTCAACCGACTGAGCCACTCAGGCACCCCTATAAACGTTTTAAAACATCCAATACAGAATTTATTTCAAACAATATTTGTTTATTTAACTTCTTAATGAGTACATATACATTATCTGTAATAACTATCTAATGGTATTGGAAGTTTTTTTTTATTTTTTAATTTTTTTTTTAACGTTATTTATTTTTGAGAGGAGAGAGACAGAGCATGAGCGGGGAAGGAGAGAGAAAGAGGGAGACACAGAGTATGCAACAGGCTCCAGGCTCTGAGCTGTCAGCACAGAGCCTGACGCCGGGCTCGAACTCACGGACCGCGAGATCATGACCTGAGCTGAAGTCAGATGCTCAACAGACTGAGCCACCCAGGCGCCCCTAATAGTATTGGAAGTTTTAAATGAAAAGTGGTTGTATAAAACATTTTCATCAGAAAAGCGAAGTGATTAACATCAATTTTTTTTTTTAAAGTGGTATTTTTGGCTTGTCACAGAGCACTTAAGCAGTCAGCAGAAGAGCGCAGACACAGTACAGGATGAGGGTACCGGACGTGGAAGTAGGGGAGACAGGGTGCTAGAAGCCAAGTAGATCTGTCTTTACCTCCTTGTGAGTCACACCCTTGCCAAGAATCAAGCATCTTTCTAATCCTATAAAAAAAATACCCTGTGTCCTTTCCTGTCCAACCTCACATGTATGTACTGCCTAATTACAGTTGCTCCTCACCTGATGCTTTGTGCTGGCTAAGGTCTGAGGCATCTAGAAACCTGGCAATGATTGTGGGGAAAGCCTTAAGACTCATTTTTTTTTCAAGTTTGTTTATTTATTTTGAGAGTGAGTATGTCTGAGAGCCAGGGAGAAGCAGAGAGACAGGGAGAGACAGAATCCCAAGCAGGCTCCGCACTGTTCTGACCATGAGATCAGACCTGAGCTGAAATCAAGAGTCAGTTGTTTAACTGACTGAGCTACCCAGGTGCCCCACCCTCAGATTCATTTATGTTACTGGATAAAAGATGGGCCTGGGGGGGTATTTTATGAGCTACGCTGGCTGTCAGTGCTGAAGGCTAGAACTTAAGAGTTAACATTCTATCCTATTATCTTGTAATCTAAAAACTTGTAAAAGAATAACTCTACTTCACTTTTCTTAAAAATCCCTTCAGAGGGAGAACCTGACTTGATCATTTAAGCAAAGCATTTAAGCTATCCCTCGCTCTCCCAAAGCCACAATAAAACAAACAACAACCAAAACCTAACAACTGAATATTTAAAAAGGCTTTAAGGAGAAAGGATATCCAGATTGAATAAGAGTGAGAGGAAAAATAATTGATGTTAAGTTTCTTACCTAAAGTAAGTAGCAATGCAGAGAATAACCACCAACATAGGATAATATATGTAGAATCCATCTGCAATAAAGGATAAAACTTTCATGGAACCCATAATCTAAAGAGGCAAAAAAAAAAAAAAAAGTAAGTTAAATTAGTACAATTCTGTATTTTTCATTCCTTTCCACCATTAAAAAAATTCACTCATCACCAGTCTTATTAACAAATTTGGACTTTTCAAAAAGTAGAAATAAAGCACTAAATGGACTGATTTTAAGTTCTCATCACAAAAAAAACTTGTAACGATGTGAGGTGATGGGTGTTAACTTTTTGTGGCAATCATTTTAAAATATCTACACGTATCGAATCATTCTATTGTACACTTTACACTACATACAATGTTATATGTCACTAATATCGAATTTGCTTATTTATTAAGGTTTTCACATAAAGAAAATTAATATTTTATAAATATTACTAAAAATTATCATGTACATGAAGATTATAAATATGAAAGCTAATATTATAGATCAGGTCTATTGATATTGCTCATCTGGTCAACCTATGTGAACCAAAAAACTTTGTGTTTTTTTTACAATAAAAGAGAACAAAATCATTTTTACCCAGTCAGATACAACCTTTAAAATAAGTTCGATATTTTAAAAAATCCTAATAACACTATAGAACATTTCTGCCGGCATTAAAAGAAATTCCACAATAATACATCTGTAGAGACAACAAATCTAAAAATACTGTTTCCTGACCATACTTACAGATGTATAAGCAGTTGGCTGAGTATTCTGGTGAGAGATGGACGAATCCATATGGGTCAAACCCAAGAAATTAAGACATAAAGGAGGAGTCAAACGGCAAAATAACCTGCAATAAGCATATATAAACAGAATAAGAAAAAATATAGCAGCAAAGTACATTTTATTATGTTGTTATTTTCATCCATTTGTATTACATATATCTTGAATTCGTAATGCAAACTGCCCTTATTTGAGAGACATTCTGAATATCCTATTAATCACATCTCCCGAAAACATCAGGGCAAAACTCCAGCCTCAGGCTGCCTGCTTTGGTTGTGTCTGCCACTGTTTCATCCTAAGATTTGTGCAGTACCTGAAGAATTTTCGTACGCACTTTATTCAAATCTACCATCTGTGCAATCCGTGTCCACATGACCAGGACAGCAATATCCTCGAGGGGAACTGTACTCAGTACATAAAGGAGCTGAAGTTGTATTGAAGTAGGTCACTCTGACAAGTTCAGGTACAAAGAACTGTTAGAGCTCAGTTATGTCCAGATAAAAAGAGAACCTCACAGAACTATAGAGTTGGAGAACAGGTGGTAAGGAAAATGAAGGGAGGGTGTGAATACAAAGAGGAAATATGGGGAGTTATTTTGTGATGATGGAACAGTTCTGTATCTTGATTGTGGTGGTGGTTATGTGAATCTACACACACACACACACACACACACACACACACACACGCACATGAATGAAGGATAAAAAGTGGTAAGAACTAAATAAGGTCTGTAACCTAATTCAGAGTTATATATCAATGTACAATTCCTGGTTTGGATATTGTACAATAGCTATATAAAATTTCTCCATTTGGGGAAGCTGGGTGAAGGTTAGTTAGTAGGACCCTTTGTACTGTATTTGCAACTTCCTGTGACTCTATAATTATTTGAGGGAAAAAAGATTTAAAGAAAAAAGTCTTAAAGATGCTTCAGATATGGATTTCTCTGGGAACCTGCCTAAGTGCAGCCTATTTTATAAATACCTAATATGACCAACTTACCAACAGGGACAAACAATAGCACAACCTAGCTATTACTAGCAATACTCTCTTAGCAAAGGATATTCCTGTTCATTTTAAGTCCTTCCCAATGCAGCTTGATGCCACTGAATCACCGAACACTCTAGGTCTGACTTAGCCTCTAAACTCTCAAATGGTCCTAGTATTTACCAACCTATTTATTGAATCTCTAACTTGTAAGTCCAGGTTGTCTTTCTTTTCGTTCCTAACCTAGTAAACCTCTTGTATTATAACCTTAAACTTCAAGCAGGATTTAGCTAGCAGTCAGCAAACATCTAATGCTTAAACGTAATCAATGAGCTCACATAAATGCAGGTGTTAGTGGAATGCTCAGAAACAATAAGAAAGAAAAGGGACATCCATAGACTACATGCAGTGGGGTCACTCCCTTGTGTCTAAACACACTCCTACTTACATGCCACTGAAGAGAAGGCTGTAAGCATCAGTCTGGTGATGTGAAGCCAAGTAATAATAGTTAAAGACACGAATCCTGAACACAGTAGAATAAACACAGATACTCAGAAAGAAGATACTCAGGAAACAAGCAATCTGAAAAATGAAAACAAACAAAATCAGTTTAAGACTAACAGACTTAAGACTAACGGACCTTGGCACTTAATACACTCTCACAAGCATTATCCTTTATCTCCAGCTAACATTTATTGACATTCTAAAAATTTTAGAACACAGTTCAGGTTTTAAACACCTGTAACTGGTTTAAACACAGTAACAGGGTTTTTTTTAACCACCTAAGAAAATTAATTTATGAAAAAAATCTACGTCTTAACCAGTTCAATATCCTGTCCATAAGTTTCAAATCCACCTCCTGAAGTGAGCCCGTTCTCCCGTGCCCTTGGCTACCCTTCCCGCGAAGACTGTACATTATGCAGCTTCACTGGCATCAACAGGATCAAAGTATTCTCATAAAAGAAGTCTGCACTATTTTGCACCTTGTCATCCCTCCTCAAACACCGTTTTTAGTTTTTATGGTCTGATAAATGGATGAAGCTCATTTCTGAAAGTCTGAATAACACTATGGGCAACTTCACTGCTTTCATTATTGTTAGATTATATAAAGAAAAAGCACAGTTGATGACTAGACTATGAACTGACATATGTTTATGACAGATGTAAAATAAACTGACCTCTATATAAATATAATTGTATGTTTTCTCAGCCAGCTGTATGAAGACTGCGAAGAGGGATAAGACAGGTGTAGTGCTAAAGAATGTGCATTCTGACCACACAACAATCACAGAGAAGATGGACAAAACCACAGCAAGTATCCTATAAAACCACGGTCTCAAAAGACATTCCCAGTACCATTCTGGAAGATAAAAGAAAAAAATGATTAGGAAAAATCATAAAAGAATAAGATATTTATATTGTTTCAAAACATCTCCATACAGGATCCATAACTGCAAAGAAGAAAACAGTAACATCACAGTAGAGGAAGCAGGCAGGTACCATGTTCACCAAATAATCACCAAAAACAGGATAAACTGACATCATGTGCCTCCTGCTATGAAGCACTAAGAACACAATGTCATTGCTGCAGTATTCCCACCAAAAATGCAAAACCTGCATCCAACATGAGAAAATACCAGACTCAAATCCAGGGACACCTAATAAAAAACTGGCCTATAATCTCCGAAAACACCAATGTCAGAAGACACAAATAGAGACTGAGAAATTATTCCAGATGAATGGAAACTAGGGAGACGGGACACCTGAATACAATGCATGATCTGGGATTTTTTTTTTTTTTTAATAAAGAATATTTTATTTTATTTTATTTTATTTTATTTTTTTTTTTTTCAACGTTTATTTATTTTTGGGACAGAGAGAGACAGAGCATGAACGGGGGAGGGGCAGAGAGAGAGGAAGACACAGAATCGGAAACAGGCTCCAGGCTCTGAGCCATCAGCCCAGAGCCCGACGCGGGGCTCAAACTCACGGACCGCGAGATCGTGACCTGGCTGAAGTCGGAGGCTTAACCGACTGCGCCACCCAGGCGCCCCAATAAAGAATATTTTAGAACAATTCGCAAAATCTGTGTAAGGTGTACAGAAACAACTCTGTATCAAAGTTCACTTCCTGATCTGGTCCCTGTATTTGGTTAGTAAGAAAATGTCTTTATTTTTAGAAAACAGACACTGAAACATTTAGGAGCAAAGAGGCATCATGTCTGGAATAAAACTTTGAAAAGATTAAGGAAAAATACATATACAGAGAGAAAGATAAAGTAAATGAATCTGAGTGAAGTATATACAAAAATTCTTTGTACTATTCTGCTAACTTTTGGTTAAGTCTGACATTTTTTAACAATAACAACAAAAAAGATAGCTTACCGAATTGAAAAGGCTACGTTTTCACTTCATTCACTGAAGCGCTGAGCGAGCTCTTAGCTCAGACTCTAAATCTTTCAACCCTACTCTCAGCACAATTCCTGATGAATTCAATGTCCACACCAGTGATCCTTTTTTCAATATCCTAGGGTCTTTCACTTCCTTGATCTCCTTTCCTCCAGTGATCTCATCCTCCACCCCACCTCAACTACTCATTCTCAGTCATCCCTAAACCTCTTACTGCCCTTCCTTCCTTATAATCTCATTAAAGCATCCCTGTTTCCAAGCAATACCTTCACCTAATATCCAATTCCACTGACTGACTCTATCTGGACCAAGCATCCATTCATTGTACCACCTTTATATTGCCACTTAATACCCTGGTATCCTGCTGCTTCCTTTATCAGCTCAGATTCCGTAGTCTTTGAGGATAATTATGCTCCAGCATCCCCATTTCTTTTCTCTCTTGCTTCCCTGTACTTGCTAAGCAAGACCACAACCTGGTTAGGATCCAACTCCCTGGCCACTCTGAGCCTGCACCCATGGAGCTGTACCCTTCAGGAGTGAGGCACCCAATTTTGCTGACTGGTCTCATTCCAAATTCCTAATCACCAACTTCAGGTGGATCCTGAGCACTGCCTGGCTGGCCTCCTATAATTCAATCTTCTCCCATGCCTTCACTCCTAAGCAACTATTTTGCACCTTCTCTCTTCAGATCTTCTCTTCAGATCTCCCAAATCTCTTACCCTATGCTTCACTCTCAGCATTTCACCGAGAAACTGGCAGAAGGGAACCTCCCCAAGTTCCTGCCACTACCTCTTCTCACCTGCTTAGGTACACCCGTGCCTTACCTCCTAATCTAAGGGCAATCTCTACATTGTTCACTATTTCCCATTTCATCTCTGCTACTCATGAACATCACCCCAGCCATGCTCTTCGCTCATTACATTTCCTCTAAGATATGGTTCCCAAATTACATGCTATAATTTATCTTGACCTTGCCATTCTCCTTCAGCTACTACCTCTTTTCTCTACTCCATTTTATAAGGAAAACTTTTGAGAGTTTTGTATTCTCCTTGCCTCTAATTGCTCTCCTCCAGATTTCTTTTAAATTCAACTGGGCTTTTGTTTGTCTGTTTGTTTGTTTTTTACCTTTTTCTCTTTTCCACCCCCACCTCACTTCTCTGAAGTCAACCTATTGGGAAATGTACTTTACACACACCTTTCCTCAAAACACCTCACTATCCTGCTTTTCTTCCTTCCTCACTGGGTTCCTCCATTAACCTGATGTCTACATTCTGGTATCTTCTTTATACCTTTCTGTGTACATAGTCTACTTTCTCACTCCGTAAAGCCAGGAATTTTTGTCATTACACTTATTGATATATACCCAACACCCAACAACATACAGCATATATGTCTCAAGTATTTGTTGAATGAATGAAAACAAGTATTTCTTTCATTTAATTAGAAAAGATCTTTGTTGAAGTAGTTTTCTAACATATGTTATGGCCATTATGTCTTCATACTCAAGACCAAACACGGCAAAAAGAATCAAATGAACATAATTGTTTATGTAAACAAATAAGCTAAATGGAAGCTTTAATACTGTGACACTTGCCATATTTTCATTAAGTTCTTCGTATTAAATTTGATAACATTGAGAGAGTATCATAAATAATCATTAAAGAGAATGAAATAATTCTGACTACTTATGTAGGTTTTATAAATAGACTAACAGATGTGAATAATCAAAGAGGACTTCTTAGGGGAATATTTTAGTAGTATGTCAAGACTAAAGAAGAGACCCAAGCTTGTGATATAAAACTGCTTAAAGTTCTAATTATTTTAAGTATATATTATGAATATATAATATACTTGATGTATTGCATATATTTTTGCACAGCATTTTGGTTATCTGTGAAGTAACAGTGGAAACTGATAGATTATATGTTGTATGACAAGTAAAACAGTTTTGGAGGGGGAAGTTTATCAGACACATAATAAATATTACCACATGGTATATGTCAAATAATACAAATACAATTCAACTCTGCACTGGGGAAAATATATACTTTCTTTCTCTAGAAAAATTATCATCATTGAATTCTGAAATTTATGTAAAAGTACATACCAACTGTAGGATTATAAAAATATTGGAGAAATTTATTTTCTGGCTCTGGTGACTGAAAGGTGTGAACAAACTGATGAGTAGCACTAGTTTCATTTTTTGCTACATCTTCGAGATAAAATGCTTGTTCCAAAAGAATCTGCCATTGTACTTGAGTTCGACGGTGTCTCTGAACTGAATAAATCACCTAAAAAAGAGAATTTGGGTATATCTGTCAATGTTCTGATCCATTTCTATACATCCCTCCAGAGAGCATGTTTTGATTGTCATAATAATGGGGAAGTGTTAATGGCACGTGGCATTTACTGATTGGGGCCAAGAATGTTAATATTCTAGGACATATTTAACAATTAGGCTCAGTGAGTAATTTTCCCTCCCCAAATGCCAACAGTACCCCTGTTGAGAAACACAAAGTTAAAACACCTCAAAGAATGATACAAGGATCAAAGAAAGCTTCAAATACACATTTACTCGAAAATCGCTTTTTGTGGGCAGCAATTATAAATCTAATTAAAATCATCAGTAAGTAAAAAAGCTATTATTAATAAAGTCACCTGTTTATGTAGTTTTACCAGACTTTTTTCACTGGGGTAGGTATTATGCTTTTCATCAAAATCTTCATAATCATCCATGTTCCTACCCATTTTTTCCTGATACTCTGTAGGACACTAAAAGGGAAAAGTAGATATTTTTAAATCTCATGTGCAAAAAAGTAAAATTATATTTTTATTTAAAAATTTGCCACTCTTGGGCATATCTAATTTTCTCAAAAACATCTTCCTTTACAGGCATCTCTAGATGTTTGGATTGTTAGTAGCTGGCATTTCCTTGAAAATGTTCTAGAAGATGTATTAAGTGTCTTCTTACCTTGAGAGCTTACCTACATGAAGCAACTAGTATTTGAGAGGATTAGGCTATGCAGGCAACCTGACGGAACTGTCAATTATTTTCCTAGCTAAAAACAAAAAAGAATCGCAACAAACCCAAGACGTTGAATTTTTAAAAGGCCTTGTAGAGAAAAACAAACACGTAATTTGGAGCCATCTGCCCTATTATTTATTTATTACCTATCTGAATTTGGGCAAGTTACTTAACCTCCCTGAATAAGTCTCAAAAGGTAGCAATATAGAGAGAAAAGATTAGAGAACTGATTCTCATTACCCTCAACTTAGCCAAAGGGAACACTAGCTAATAATCAGTGTAATAGATTTAAAATATAGAAAAAGAAATAGTTCAGTGGTTCTGTGGTTGCAAAGACAATTATTGAGAAGTCCATTTTTAGAATAATCATTTTGGAAGTATATGAATACCCTAATTCAATACCAATGCATCAAAACCTTAATTTTATAGCTCCTTGTTAAATATCTGTGTTAAATATCTCATAGGGTCATTCATTTTACAATTTATTTCATATATCATGAAATGACATGGTAGAAGCAATTGAAAGAGATTATTAAGGCTCTAGTTTATTACAGGAGGTGCACCTTTAGTGACCACATTCAATGACACTTAGAAACTGTGAAGGTCCATCTCCATCGCTGTGCCAGCAATCATTATCTATTACTTAACCTCTACATCCACATTTCAATGACAAATACTGCCAATAATTAAATGTCACACTTGTATTAACAAAAGAACAAATTCTAAGCATGGATTACTACTGATTTATGGTTAATATTTCCATGAAAATGGAAAGGAGATGGGAAGACCACAGTCACAGGCTGTTCTCACACTTTTCTGATGCTTTTATTATAATGTTACAGTCTACAAATTTATATTTCAAAAGAAAAAAGATGAGAATATGACAAATTACCTTTTTAAGTATTGTGTCAACACATTTTCTCAATGGGTGGTTATACTTGATGCTTTCATTCACTTTACGAACCTCCTATAAAAAAAGTAAGAAGAATACAAATATTTCCATTTCTATACATCGTACATTTCAAATGAGACTGCCCTAGGTACTGTATGTGTTCTCATAAGTTTAATTTCAACCCAAGTTACTTAGCATATACATGAAGTTCTGTTCACCAAATAGAAGTTCTTAAGAACATAAGTAAAAATACAAAGTTATAGAATAGCAGTATCTATACCCTCATGATTTTTACTATTTTTTAAGATTTACTCTCTTATCACTTGCCTCTTGGTACACAAAGGTGAATGAGCATTATAAAAAGGTCATGAAAGATCAGACAAACTTTGCAATGCTGTGTTCTTCCACCTTGCTCAGCAAGCTCAGTTATCTCATTATCTAAAGTACAGTGAAGAAACCAGAGGAAGAAGCCACAGGCAACAAGCGTCACAAAGCACCGGCTCCTTTCCAATGAGAGAGTTCCCTACAGCAGTCACAACTACTGACTCATTCCACATTCGTTATAAAAAGCACACTCTATGCCAGCACTGTGTTAAGCATAAGGTCACCACGATCCATGCTGAAGGGTGTGGTAGAGAGACATGATGTTACAGGTCTTTAAAGATGACAGGCTGGTGATGAGCTAATTTAATAACCAATTTAGTGAATATGAAAAGTATAAAGGGGTTAGTTAGGAAGGGTAATCTGTACAACCAGCAGATCACAAAGAAGAACAATAATTTCTATACTAATGAAACTTTTAAAAAGTTGGAACCACTGCTCTAGGCAGAAGAAATGGCACGTTCAAAGGCTGGGAGGCAAGAGAACTGACCAGGACAATAAAAAGAATATTCTGATTGGAGAGTAGAGAATGGCCCCAAGGAATACAAAACTAGAGGCAAGGAAACCACCTGGCATACAAAGTTATGAAAATATATTTATATCTTATATGACAAAAAAAATCATTTTCCCTAATATATATGTGCTATCACAAATCAAGAGAAAATTGGGAAGACACAAAAGCAATACAATTGGCCTATATACGTCTGGAAAGATAGTCAAGCTCACTAAAAACAATTACAAATTTTAAAAATGAGAACGGTTTTTGGAAAGTAATTTAGCAATAACCATCAAAACTTACAATATGCAGACTTTAGGAATAACCTGTACCAATAGACATTGCTCCTGTCAGCAGCTCAGCTTACTGAGGAAAACAGGTATTATTCAAATAGAAATGGTATGGAAACTGCTGTGTAATCTAGTGTGAGAGGCTTTCTGATAAACTGATTGTTCAAGCTGAGATAAAAGCCTGAGTAGGAGTAAGGTCAGCAAACCAAAGGAAGGGGCGAGAATACTCCAAACAAGGGAACAGCCAGTATAAAGGCCTCCACGCAGAAGTGCGTAAGGAGTTTCAAGGAACTGAAAGTACATGTGATCGCAGGGAAAGGACAGTCAGCGGCTGCCTGAGCAGCACTTCATCAGGCTAAAGAAAAGCAAAGCACTCCAGAAGGCCTTTGTAACGGTTTGTTTGAGGTCAACAAGTGACCTAAATATAGCAGGGACAAGAGAAGACTTGGGTTTTTAAAAGATGTTTGAATCATCATTACATTACAATTTTCTATTCCTAAACTGCCTTAAAGATTTGTTGACTTGTTAGCACAACTTTGAATATGAACCATACTGATTATATGTAAAATATTATATTCTTCCTTTAAATTCTTCAGCCATGTGACACAAAAATATGTACTGAAACAAGTTAACTACTGATATTTGCTATATCTGTTATAAATCTAAGGCTCCTTCAAAAGTTTGTAACTTTTGGGGCACCAGGGTGGCTCAGTTAAGCATCCAACTCTTGACTTTGGCTTAGGTCATGATCTCATGGTTTTGAAATCAAGCCCTGTGTGAGATTCTTTCTCTCCCTCTCCCTCTGCCCCTCCCTTGCTTGCACGTGTGTGCTCTCTCTCAAAAAGATAAAATAAAATAAAATAAAAATAAAATAACAAAGACGGCACCAATGCCAGTCCTAGTTTTCCACATCCTATTCCTCAGTAGAGAGTTCCTACTTAACAAACAACAACAACAAAATCTATCTTTCTTCAGTCATTGACAATTCCTCCTAGCAAAATCCAGATCTTGCATAATTAACTGGATTTATATTTCTTGAAGGAATACTGAATAACTGGTAAAATCCATATTCCTCAAATCTGAAACAACTGAATTAGTACCAACTTTAAAGGGTAACAGTATCAAATTTAAATTATCTTTTAAAAATTATTTTCTTACTAAATACAAATTTTCAAGTTTTTTTCCAAACATCTGAATTTTCAAATATAAACTTCCAAATATATCATAAATAAATACAAAAATTATCAAACATACATTATCTTCTTTTGAAACATGTAATAATAGCCAGCAGAAGCCTGAGGAAATGTAACAGAATACTATCTGTGAATTTACTCCTACATTTTCAATCAATATATTCTACTGCAGTTCTTACTTTTTGTAGGGAATACATGCCAAAAAGCCAGTATTAGATTTTTCAATCACAACACTTTTAAGAGTAAAAGAAGGGCTCTGTAAGGTTACCCCAAGATGACAAGCATACCCTGCACTGTTGAATAATTGTTGCTGAATCTGTGGGTTAGAAGGTGGAGATGACACCTCATGAAGCTGGAAGGGCCAACAGGAAGCCATCCTACTGGATGGGACATACTGAAGGATCACACATCACCAAATTTTCCGTGTGAAACCCATTAACGTGCAAACAACAACAGCAACAAACCAATAGTGACTGACTGTTAGTTTAAACTTGCTTATTACCTCCATGACATCTTCTAAAGTCTCTTCTGCATCTGCTTTTTCTGTCATCAGTTTGGCTGCCTTAAAATATGTCTTCATAAGTAGATAACCTCTTTTTGCTCCATTCCAGTACGACCGAGGAATTTCTACCAAACCATATCCCAATAACAACACAAGGAGAAACAGGCCCCATGTATTTGCTGCAGCTATTCCAATTGTCTGAAGCTGGTTCCTGAGAAAGAGAAAACAGAAGCAGAGCTGTGAGAAAGAAATTTTTCCAACAATTTTATATATATATTTTTTCCAAAAATATAAAATAAAACTAACTAGTATTAAATGGTTTTTCAGGAAACAGCCCTACAAGATGGCTAGGATTTTACATGAAAAAAAGTATACCTTCCAATCCTCAGCTACTTTTTTAGCAACAGCAGATAATCTGTGCGTTTTAAAAGGAAGTTAGAGCTTAACTGCAGAAATAGACTTTAACACAGGAAACACTGCTTCTATCATAGTTAAAATTAGAATCTAGGATAGTTCATGGTGAAAACTATATATATTTCTTCCCCCAAAAAAGATATTTTTCATTAGGTGCTTTCTTACTCAGAATTAACCAAGAGAAGCCCGAAAAAGATTTTAAAGTCTAAAAAATTTTATGTTGAGCCACACCTACACAAATCTCAGGAATGCAACAGTGAGAATTATCATTACTACTCTATTCCTAAATTTTTGAGATGTCTTCACATAACATTATATACATCACAAGTATAATACAGATTTCAATTTTATTATAATGTCTGAATCTAACATCAAAGAGAAATATGCTCTCAAGGTATAGTCAGAACAAAAGAAAAAATATTCAACAAGCTCCAAAGAAAAAGAAACCTAAGGGGCACCTGGGTGGCTCAATCAGTTAAGCATCTGATTTCGGCCCGGTCATGATCTCACGGTGCGTGAGTTTGAGCCCCACATCAGGTCATGATCTCATGGTTCATGAGTTGGAGCCCCACATCAGGCTGTCTGCTGTTAGCACAGAGTCCACTTAGGATCCTGTCTCCCTCTCCCTCTCCCCTTCCCCTGCACATGCACTCTTGCTCTCTCTCAAAAATAAACATTAAAAAAAAAAAAACAACTAGTTATTTTGTCATGTACAAAACTGTACACCTGAAACTAGTATTACACTGTATGTTAACTGGAATTAAAATAAAAACTGCAAAAAAATCATAAGCGTTAATACTTCTAACACATAGCTATTAGACAAATCATTAGTCCTTCATCTAATAGCTACATTTAATAGTTGTTCCATTTTTTTCTTCTTAGAAATATGCGTTATTCAGATTTCTTTTTGGGGAATCTATTAGACACATAACTCGGTATGTTTCTCAGTGAAATATCTGTTTACCTGCCCATATGAGAGAAAAGTAAATTTTTAAAAATGCAAACATACATTAAAATAATATTAAGAAAACAACTTTTCTTACCATTCTAAGTGCAAATGTGGGTTTACAGCTACATATATTAAAAATGCTCCAAAAATCAGCAAATAGGTGCCATAATAGATTGCATTCTCAATCAGTGCAGTTTTGATCTTCCCAGTGATGGAAAACCCTCCTGATCTTGCATAGGACTGCATAAAAGGTAACAGAATCCTAGACGGTTGGAAAAACATGATTACAGAAACAATTGACATGCCTATTTATTCTCGAAATACCAGAATGATGTGAATCTCAATTTTAATGTGTAGTTCTTTTCATAAATATGATTTTGAGTATTAATACTGAACAAACTATAACAGATAACTGAATATTTTTGTAATATCAGATTTTGGGGAGACCAAAGCACATTTCTGGGAGCAAAAGAGGCCACAATGACCAACAGCGAGTACAACGGTGTCACGAGTGACTTTAACGCCTTTATGAAGACTTTGGACTGCATTCAGACAACGAGGAATCTTTTTCTTTAACAGAAAGGAGATGTGATCAAATTTAAGTTTTCTAAAGACTGGTAAGTCTTCAGCAGGAAGAATGGACTGAAAGGAAACAAGACTGGGACTATGTGGGAGAGGATAAGGGGTGGTGATATGGTAAGAAGCAGGAAGGGAGAAGTCTGGTTGTGAATACACTGATCGGAGGTACTTAGGACACATCCCAAAGAAGCTGCACTGGAAGTAGTTGGCTATCCAGCTTTAGAATTCGGGAGAGAGGATTAGAAATACAGATCGAGGAGTCATCACCATATCAGTGGTTCTGAAATAACACCAGAAGATGAGATTTGGAAGGGTGACTATGTAGAATGAGAAGGACAGAACTAAGGCTGACCCTGGGAAAGATCATCTTTTAAAGGAGAGGTAGAGAACTAACAGGAGGAGCCAGTAAAGGAGACTGAGACAGATCAGTAGATATGGAAGAAAACCAAGGAGCACGCGGAGGAAAAAATAGAAGAAGAAAGCGTTTCAAAGTGGAGAGAGAAAACAATAATCAAATGCTGCCAAGAAGTCTAGTAAATTAGGAACCTGTCTGTGTGAGTGGAGAAGTGGAGCTAGAAAATAGAGTTCAATGGGGTGAGGAAAGAGTAAGCAATGAGGAAATGAAGACAGTAAAAGTAAATGTAGACAATTCATTTAAGAAATTTGGCTGGGTAGGATAAATTACAGTATATTCATATAATGGAAGATTTTACATAAATGACAAAGCAGAGAATACTGACACGTACAATAAGACGCAGATGAATTTTCCAAATATGTGAGCAAAAAAAGAGGTGCAGAAAAATACATACCATATTAATTCCATGTTTGTAAAGTTCAAAAACAGGTAAAATTAATCTATAGTGATGGAAGTCAGAATCATGGCTACCTTTGGGGAGGGTAGGACTGGGAGAGGGACATGAGGGAAGCTTCTAGACTTAGCATGAACATTGTTAACATTCTATAATATCATCTGAGTGCTGGTTATATGGGTGTACTCACTTTGAAAAAAGTCAAACTGAACACAATTTGTGCACTTTTCTGTACTAATTTATACTTCAATAAAAAAGTCTCCCCCACCCCGAGGGGCACCTGGGTGGCTCAGTCAGTTAAGCATCCCACTTCAGCTCAGGTCATGATGTCTCAGTTCGTGAGTTCAAGCCTCAAGTCAGGCTTTCTGCTGTCAAGGCATAGCCTGCTTTGGATCCTCTGTCTCTCTCTCGGTCTCTCCCCCACTTGCTCTCTCTCTCTCTCTCTCTCAAAAAAAAAAAAAAAAAGTCTCCCTCTCAAAATTAAGCCGTGATGAATAGATCAATGAGGTTAGAAGCTAGGAAGTTGGAAAGGATTGCATTTGAGAGATCTGGCTTTTTTTTCTTTTCTTTTTTTTAAAAGGATGAGAGAATTGTATATGCTTTGTTGAAACCGGAAGCTGAAAGTATAGGTAGCAAGAGCTGAAGGAGATGGGTCCATACTTCAGGAAGAGGGATTTCACTTTGTAATCACTTTGAGAGTGACTCTTCCATTCTTTGAGTGGAAGGGAAAAGGACGGGTAGGGAGGTGTGCTGGTGGGAAGCTGAAAGAGTACCATGTGAGGACTTCTATTTTCACTGTGAAGTAGAAAGTAAAGTACTCTGAAAGGAGAAAAGGTGACTGATTCTAGGATGTAAAAGAGAGGGAAAGAGCCACAAAGGGAACAGTAGAGGTTTGAGGTCTGTAGTGATTAGAAGGATTCACTGTGGAGAACAAAGAGCGAGCAGACTAGAGACACATAGAAGTCTGGCAATGCTGGGAGCCTGGATGAGTCGGATGAACACGAATTTACAGGTGCACTACCTGACTGTGCCGTGTGATTTCTCTCTTGCAATATTCACTAGCTTCAGTTTTAGAGCTTAGTTGCCTGCAGAATATCTAAAATGCTCAGTAGGCAGTGAATAGTGTGAATTTGGAACCCAGCAGAAAGACAAAGCTACCGTGGGTAGAAAGAAACATTTGGAATGCATCCGATTATGGTTACAATTAAAGCTATACAGAGAGGCTCAAGTGACAAGATGACCAAAGATGGGATCCTAGGGAATGCCAACATTCAGGAAATGGGCCACAGAAATAGAACCCATGAAGGAAATTCAGCAGGTTGGGCTAAGCAGATAGAAAGAAAACCAGGAGACAATGATGACCTTAGCAAGAGCAGTTTCATTTAAAACTGGGACTGGAGGAAGACTAAATGGAAGAAGGTCAAGAGAGAAGGCAGTAACTAGAAGGGAATGGTGACAAGCAAAATTTTTGGTTTCTGTATTCTATTTCTTGTTTGTTGGGGGTTTTTCGTTTCATTTCTTCTAAGATGGGAGAGAAGTGAATGAGCAGGAAAGGAGAATATACAGATTTAAGAAAAAAAAAATTAACACTTGAATAAACCCTAAAAATGAAGGTTCACAGAGAAAGTATAATCTTTTTCTTTTTACTTCAGCCAAAATTTAAAAACTTTTTATCCTTCACTATCACTTACCATGTTAAAAATTGTGATGTCCAATATACTACCCTCCAGAAAATTGGCATGATTCCATCAGGAATGTAACTCCATGGCTTGAAACATGGATGTTGGCTGTTTAACAACAATTTATAGCCAATTAATAAATGATGACTACTTAAATAAGTTATATAATTAACTTGTGCATGGCAAAGTTCATTTACATTCAGATATTAAATTACCGACTCTAGCTTCCAAAACTTCACAGAAAACTTAAAATTCAAAGCAGACCGTCAAACTAAAAAAAAAAAAAAGAAACAAAGGGAACAAAACAGTTTGTTCTAGAGAGGAATGTCACTTAAATTTTCAACTTTCAGTGTATTTTCACTCCTTGAGTAAAAGAGGGCATAATGTTCACTTAATAGACTGATAATGTGAGTCTTTAAAAGTGAATGAATATGTCATGAAACTAAATCTCTGATTTGACTGCCTTTAAAACTGGTAACTGTCTTTAAAATACACACTCCATTTTGTGGGACTGGTTATTTTCTGGGGAGAGGGAACAGGGAGGTGAAAGAAATTAGGTGATTAACTCCTGGTAACTGGAGCCCTTAACTGATTAGTCACTGTGGCACAGATCCCATGGACAGAGATGCCAGTATCTGTATATAATCCTGTTTGAATTTTCTGAACATATGTGTATCTTCCATTAATAGTCTTCCCTGACTATAAGGGTACTGTTTAGTCTAGGAGCTTCCAACGATTCACAACTGCTGCTGATCCATACTCAATTTTTAATGTGCTTTAAAGGGAGTAACAGTTACATTTTAAATTTACCCTTATTCAGGTTAGATTAAAAAAATAATAAAAGCTGCATAAAGAAGCATGCAAACACTACTTAGAGCATTGGTAGAAGCTACACTCAACATTTATTAAACCTATTTACTTGGAAGTTTGATATGGATTTAACGTAACCTTTCGATAATTTGAACTTTATTCATTCTCGTTCTAAAACTATAATGGTTTCAAAGGATGCACAATATGAAAAGAACATCCTACATACAGAATAATCCCCTTATACAACCTTGTAAATCAGGCAAAAGAGAAAATGAAGGTTTTTTTTAGATTAGAGAGAGGTTGAGAAGAAAAAAAAAGCCATTGGAAGTCACATTCTTAGTAAGAGGTAGAACCAGGGCTAAAAAACTCAGATCTTCTCCAAGTTTCTCCTTAGCATCTACTGAAAGGCCTCGTGCACCAATAAATACGTAAAATTTATTTAAGCTTTACATTTAAATAGAATACAATGTAATTAAAAGTCTACTAGCAAAGGATTGGGGAGGCGTGGGGGATGAGTAGAAAAAGAAGATCAACTTTATAAATTTAAATCCCGAATGGTAAGAACAGACAATTTTAAAGTAATTTTTCCTCTACGCTATTTAAAAAAAGAAAAAAAAAAAAACAAAAGGAAGAAAATACCTTGGAACTGGAGTAGCAGTTGCGTGGAATCCTGTAATGTTGCTGTTCTCGGTAGGGCTTGAGTTTGCGGCTGCATGCTTACATCGGTTGTATATTGTCTAAATCAATGAACACACGGTTTAAAAATGAAAATCAGGGGGCGCCTGGGTGGCGCAGTCGGTTAAGCGTCCGACTTCAGCCAGGTCACGATCTCGCGGTCCGTGAGTTTGAGCCCCGCGTCGGGCTCTGGGCTGATGGCTCAGAGCCTGGAGCCTGTTTCCGATTCTGTGTCTCCCTCTCTCTCTGCCCCTCCCCCATTCATGCTCTGTCTCTCTCTGTCCCAAAAATAAATAAACATTGAAAAAAGAATGAAAAAAAAAAAAAAGAAAATCAGAAGGTTACAGAGTTACAGGATACTGGGGGGTATCAACCTATCCACCAGTGACCTTCCTGGTTATGTTTTTTAATGATCAAATTTACAAAGATTTAAATACAAAAAGTTAAGCATGACCTTATATAATTTAGCTGTTTTAAGACCATATCTCAAACATGCTGTATGATTACAATTGCCTTTCAAATTGCAAAACTCAGTTTCACCTCTTACCGTACTAACATCCAGAGGCAGTATGAAGACGATAAGAAAGCAGAGATACCAAGCTAGCAGTGTTCCAATAATTACAAGTCTATGCTGTTTCTTAAAGTCTCCATATCGATGAAGTAGGAATAATGCCAGAAAAAAGACAAAAACAATCTCGAGTCCCAAAGCTGCACCACTCATTATTGAATGTTCACTCTGACTAACCAAAAGTCATTCATGAGCAGGTCTGGATCATATCTGTAAAGTGGAAAAGAAAAAAAAAGTAGCATTAACATAAACAACCACTTGGAAATTTCCTAAATATTTGTTTATTGACGTGTTAATAAATTCTTTGGAAAATTGTCAGGCTTTACATTGAACTACAAATAGAAGGAAAAAGGGTATGCCTGGGTGTGTCAGTCAGTTGAGTGTCCACTTCGGCTCAGGTCATGATCTCACAGTTCGTGAGGTCAAGCCTGGAATCAGGTTCCCTGCTGTCAGCACAGAGCCTGCTTTGGATCCTGTCCCACCACTGCCTTTCCTCCCCTACTCCACCCCGACTTGCAGTCTCTCTCTCTCTCAAAAATAAATAAAACATCAAAAAAAAAAAAAAAAAAGAAATAGAAGGAAAAGGATAATTCCTACTCTCAAATACATATCTAATTTTTGAAAACAGATCTTAAAATCTCAACGTAAATTATATCTTCAGAAAAAAAGTTATCTTAATGAAAATTATACTACTTCTAAAAATATTGCAAAATAAGAATACTGACCGTGAACTGTTTCAAAAGTATCATTTGGTGTTTGTTCCTTACAGTTATAAGCCCCAACAGAAGTTTTATACAAATACACAATTGACTAGATCCTAAGTAATCAGACGTTTCGTAAAATAAAGTTTTCCACAGTCCATTACTTAAAATGTTCCAAAAGAGGGAAAAACAGCAAGAAAAAGACCATTTGAAAACATTTCCTTTGAAATAGTTTGTTTTTAAGTGTGTGCTAATCTTGTCTTAACAACTTTAACGACTTGAAATTCTTACTTATTTACTGCTTCACAAAACACAGTACTTGATACTTAAACAACTTAGGTTTGAGCAGTGTGGGTCCACTTACACATGGATTTTTTTTTTTGATAAATACAGTACTTTAAATATATGTCCTCTTCTTTATGACTTTCTTAATAACATTTTCTTTTCTGTAGCTTAGTTTATTATGAATATATAATATGCATACAATATATGTTGAATCATTATGTCATACACCTGAAACTAATATAATGCTGTATGCTAATTATCTTCAATAAAAAATACTCACACTATAAAATAAACGTCAAGTTCATCCAGTAGAACACACACACAGACATACACACAAAATATCTATTAATCGGCTGTTTACATTACAGGTAAGGCTTCTAATCAACAGTAGGCTATAAACAGTTACGTTTCCAGGGAGTCAAAACTTATACACAGATTTTCGACTGTACAGGGTTTGGCACCCCTGACCCTTGCAAATGTATACTTACCACTTTTCCATTTACCTATATAAATCTTATTTTCTTTAAAGAAAGTTACCTATTTTATATGTAGAAAAATTTACCAATGATTATTGAATAAAATCATACACTTGAGAATTGGTTTTTAATTTTTAAATTTTATTTAAATCCAAGGTAGTTAACATATAGTGTAATAACGATTTCAGGAGTAGAATTTAATGATTCATCGCTTATACAAAACACCCAGTGTTCATCCCAGCAAGTGTCCTCTTTAAAGCCTATCACCCATTTAGCCCATCCCCCCACCCAAAACCCCTCCAGCAACCCTAAGTTTGTTCTCTGTATTTAAAAGTGTCTTATGGTTTACCTCTCTCTCTTATCTTATTTTTTCCTTCCCTTCCCCTATGTTCATGTTTTGTTTCTTAAATTCCACATATGAGAGAAAAATCATATGATACTTATCTTTCTCTGCCTCACTTATTTCACTTAGCATAATACACTTTAGTTCTATCCACATTGTTGCAAATGGCAAGATTTCATTCTTTCTGATTGCTAAGTAATATTCCAGAGTGTGTGTGTGTGTGTGTATCACATCTTCTTTATCCCAAAACCAGCAGAAGAAGGGACATAATAAAGATTAGAGCAGAAACCAAGGATATCAAAATTTAAAAAAAAGAAAGAAAAAAAAACACAGAACAGATCAACGAAACCGCGAGCTGGTTCTTTGAAAGAATTAACAAAATTGATACACCCCTAGCCAGTTTGATCAAAAAGGATAGGATCCAGATAAAATCACAAATGAAAGAGGAGAGATCACAACCAACACCACAGAAATACAAACAACAATATGAGAATATTATGAACAATTATATGCCAACATATTGGTCAATCTGGAAGAAATTCCCAGAAATACATAAACTACCAAAACTGAAACAGGAAGAAATAGGAAATTTGAATAGACCCATAACCAGTAAAGAAATTGAATCAGTAATCAAAAATCTCAAGAGTCCAGGGCCAAATGGCTTTCCAGGGGAATTCTACCAAACATTTAAAGAAAAGTTAACACCTATTCTTTTGAAGCTGTTCCAAAAAAAATAGAAATGGGAAGAAAACTTCCAAACTCATTCTATGAGGCCAGCATCACCCTGATTCCAAAACCAGACAAAGACCCCACTAAAAAGGAGAATACAGACCAAATTCCCTGATGGAACATGGATGCAAAAATTATCAACAAGGTACTAGCAAACTGAATCCAACAATACGTTAAAAGAATTATTCACCATGATTAAGTGCGATTTATTCCTGGATGTAGGGCTGGTTCAATACCGGCAAATCAATCAACATGATACATCACATTAATAAAAGAAAGGATAAGAACCACATGATCCTCTCAGTAGATGCAGAAAAAGCATTTGACAAAATACAACATCCTTTCTTGATAAAAACTCTCAAGAAAGTAGGGATAGAAGGATCATACCTTAAGATCATAAAGGCCACCTATGAAAGACCCACAGCTAATATCATCTTCAATGGGGAAAAACAGAGCTTTCTGCCTAAGGTCAAGAACACAACAGGGATGTCCACTCTCACCCATTGTTCAACATATGATGGAAGTTCTAGCCTCAGCAATCAGACAACTAAAAGAAATAAAATGCATTCAAATCGGCAAGGAAGAAGTCAAACTTTTAATCTTCCCAGGTGACATGACACTCTATGTGGAAAACCCAAGAGTCCACCAAAAAACTGCTAGAACGGATATGTGAATTCAGCAAAGTCACAGGATATGAAAATCAACACACAGAAATCTGTGGCATTTCTATATACCAATAAACAAGCAGCAGAAATAGAAATCAAGGACTCGGTCCCATTTATAATTGCACCAAAAACCATAAAGCACCCAGGAACAAACTTAACCAAAGAGGTTAAAAAATCTATAGAAAGTTGGGGCGCCTGGGTGGCTCAGTCAGTTAAGCGTCCGACTTCAGCTCAGGTCATGATCTCGTGGTTCGTGAGTTCAAGCCCTGCGTCGGGCTCTGTGCTGACGGCTCAGAGCCTGGAGCCTGTTTCAGATTCTGTGTCTTCCTCTCTCTCTCTGACCCTCACCTGTTCATGCTCTGTCTCTCTCTGTCTCAAAAATACATAAACGTTAAAAAAAAAATAAGAAGAAAATAGAAAGCTTATGAAAGAAACTGAAGAAGACACAAAGAAATAAAAAACATTCCATGCTCATGGAAAAACATTCCATGCTCATGGATTGGAAGAACAAATATTGTTTAAAATGCTGATACTACCTGAAGCAATCTACACATTCAATGCAATCCCTATCAAAATAACACCAGCATTCTTCACAGAGCTAGAACAAACAATTCTGAAATTTGTATGGAACCAGAAAAGACCCCAAATAGCCAAAATAATGTTAAAAAAGAAAACCAAAGTTGGAGACATGACAATTCCAGACTTCAAGTTATATTACAAACCTGTAATCATCAACACTTGAAAATATTCTTAATTATAAATGCTGATAATACAGACACCAGCAAATGGTTTATTTTTCTCTCTCTCTATGCTTTTAAAATAATTTACCTTTACTAACTAAATGCAGCATGTTCGGTTCACCTTTGTAAAATCAATTTTAGGCATTTTTGTTGGGTCCATGGACTAACTACACTATTACAAGTAATAAATATCTTAATAGTGAATCAACATTGTGATACAAAGGGGCGTCTGTGGCTACATCAGTTGGGTGTCTGACTTCGGCTCAGGTCATGATCTCAGGGTCCATGAGTTGGAGCTCCGCATCTGACTCTGTGCTGACAGCTTGGAGCCTAGAGCCTGCTTCAGATTCTGTGTCTCTCTCTCTCTCTCTCTCTCTGACCCTTCCTTTGTGTATTTCAACTAAACATTCCTTTGTGTATTTCAACCAGTATTTTCATATTTTTTAAATATCTCAAATTGACCCTCTTTCATCACTCTATCACCATATCCTGCAATATCTTTCTTCAAAGCACTTATCCACCTAATATAATGTATATTTATATTTATTTTCTCCCTGTAGCCCTTTTCCTCCATCCCCACCTCCCAGACTTTATGAGAGCAGAGACTTGACTATTCAGTACTATATACCATGTCTCTAATATAGTATTCAGCATACAGTAGATATTCAAAGAGTATTTGTTGAATGAATGAATAAGTGAATAAAAACATTACATTTCAGTATATACATAATTTTTATTAATGCTGACTATAAAGGCAACATAAAACTCGTTATGTTCTTCAAAACCGATTTTACAAATACTTATCACAACTCAAAGACTTCTACATCTCTGCCACTACTAACTACTACTCAAAATTTCAAATTTCATTTTCTATGAGAAAAACTTATACCATCACAATAAGAGTAGGTCAAATCTTATTTGTAATTCAAGAATAGATTAAATGGATAACTCCATGCAGAATGTGCTGATGAAAGCCATTACCATCTTCAAGATCCAGCTTTTAAACAAACATAACTCAATGTGAATTTAAATGTAACATAGTTACTATCTGAAAATCCCTTTATGGTTTGACTGAGATATTTACTTTCCTGAAATTGTCCAGTCCAAGGAATATGGTAGTCATAGAAAAAAGACTGAATATCAGAGATTACCAAGGAAATGCTAAAGTATGGCAGAAGCAAATGATAGATTATTGAAGTATAAGAAATGATATTAAGATTATCTAGTAACATTTGAAAATTACCATAACATTAATGGAAAAACTCAATTCA